TTCATGGCCTTTCAACTTACCACTGCAGTTTTGCAGACCTGCAAGTGTTCTGATCTGAGGTTTGTTGAATGGAGGTGCCTAACTGATTACCTAATGTCTCCCTTACAGCTCCAGGCCCTAGGGGGCTTTGTTCATAAAGCCACTAGCTGTTAAGTAGTCTCTTAGGCTGTTTGCAGTCACATTGGGAGCTTGGGCAAGTACTTGGTATGGTCAGGGTCTCATTCTTGCTAGTAGTTTCCTGGCTGGCATGTCAAAAAACTGGTGCCTTCTCCAGGCAATTTTTCATGCACTCTTTGGAGTGTTAGCTTGACACTGCTGACTGTTAGAGCCCAAGAGCATGCCTTGGGAGATACTTAAGTTCACTTTTCCATTACCATTGTGGTCTGAAAGCTGCTGCAGTCAGTGCTGGTGCAGGGCTTTAAGGGAGAGAATAAAAGGCGTTTCTCAAAAGTCCTAAACACTAAATGACTGGACCGTGGAGTGTAGGTTAATCCAGAAGAGCTGGTATGATTATCCTGTCTTGGTAGCACATCAAAGAGACAATGTCTTGGGAAGGAGCAGAAAAGCTTGTCACTGGCTCTTGCAATTATACCAATCCCTCAAATTGAAGCCTCTGGGAATGCTCCATAAGTCTTCAATGGGGGCAGGAGTTGGGCCTTGGAGAATGGGTGACTCTCCCTGTGTGAATGGCATCTTTTGCCTAGCCTGTAGGACTGCTTCTGTTGAAACAGTCTGTCTAGCCTTCTTGGGTATCTTAGGTTTATATCAAGCAACTACCTACCATTTTTTTCTATTGTGTGTATTTTTTGTACGTTCTGTTGAAAGGTGAAGCCTCTGTAGAAGGTGATACAGAGATCTGATTTTGAATAGTAATAAACCAAGAATTAAACCCTGCAGGCTGCATGCATTCATTTCCTGGAGACAGACTGTAGAAGCCAAGACTGCATAGAACACAGCCTGTATTTTTCTTAGTTCTGAGTGTCAGAAGCAGCTACCACCTGCCCTACAGGACTTTTCTTGCTACCTCCACAGCACTGTAGAAGAATTTAGACAGCATTTGGATGGGCTTGCTGGATTAGGTATTTTCTTCACTCCTTTCAGGAGAAGGTGACCCAGCAACAAATGTCTGTCTGACAGAGCAGCTGGAATCCATTGTTATACAGGCATACCTGGTTTTATTGCGCTTCGCTTTATTGCGCTTCGCAGTTATTGTGTTTTTTACAAATTGAGGCAAGACACTCCACCAGCAAAAAGATTACGACTCGCTGAAGGCTCAGATGATGGTTAGCATTTTTTAGCAATAAAGTTATTTTTTAATTAAGGTATGTACATTGGTTTTTTAGACATAATGCTATTGCACACTTAATAGACTACAGTATAGTGTAAACATAACTTTTATATGCACTGGGAAACCAAAAAATTCGTGTGACTCGCTTTATTGTGATATTCGCTTTATTGCGGTGGTCTGGAACCAAACCCGCAATATCTCCGAGGTATGCCTGTACTTGGAGGTGAGAAAAGATGAAAGGGTGCTTTGAATAGTATGCAACCTGTTTTACTTCAGTCTCTCCCAAAATGACTAACAAAGGTATTACATCTTAAGACAGAAGTAGAGCTCTCTTAGTCTAAAGTCAGGCAGAAGGTGGATTTGCACCTTATAGACTAAATTAGAGATGTACAGCATAAACTTTTGTAAGAGCAGGGCTTGCTTAGTGCATCTTCTACAATACTTAACAAAGATGTTGGGTTGACATGAGAAAAAGCAATGCTACCTCTCACCAGGTGGATGGCTTTTTGGCTCCTTGTGTTCTTTCCTAGGGCAATTTGGAACCTTTCCTTCATACCCAGAACTGCTAATGGCAAATGGCAACCCCACCGCTAGAACTGCAGGACAAATGCTGTTTTTGCTGCGGGCACATGGAAGAACAGATCCTGTACTTCTGTGGTGGACATGGTGTAGGAGTCCTTTTGTGATGAGTAATAAAAGAGGCTGTCTCCACTGGCCTAATGCATGCATACAAACCTGGAAAAAATGGAGACTCTCCCCAGACAGATACAACTCCTCCTCCTGCCTTCAGGCAAATGCCTGTCTCGGATCCTAGGAACCTCAAGGCCTAGCTAAGAAAAAAGTGAACTGTACAGCTGAGAAGTGTGTCCTGTCTTAGCTCTGGTTAGAGACTGCCTTTTTTAACAGACACACAGCCCTTTCTTTGCCCCTGCTAAGGTGGCATAAGAATGTTACTTCCTTTCTAGCTGGCTGTGTTCTTAGGTAGTCTTATCTTCTTTTGGCATTAGAAATACTTAATTGGAAGGCCTATGGTAACTTTGTGGCTCTAGCCCAGAATCCTAGAAGCTTAAATAGCAGTGTTTGGGACCTTTCCTTCTCTCAAAGTCTGTGAAGTCAATACTTGGTGTGCATCCTTGAAACTGGTGAGTAGAAGATTGACAGAAGGACCTCTGATCCCATCCAACCCCCAGCAAGTCACCTTGTTCAGAGTCAACATCCTAAAAACTAAGGAAGCCTGAAATGTTCCCACCACCTGTCAAAGCTCCCGTAGATGCTGGTATAGAGTTTCCACAGCTGGGTTTTCCACATCTCTTAACTGTTCCTAAACTTCATAAATTTATTTTTAGGATCCAAATTTCCCTTTAGCACATGCAGACTTCGCTACCCAGGTTCACACTGGCTGAAAGCCACAAGAAGAAATCATGAAGTTTAAAAGGATTTCTACAAGTTTAAAAAAAACAAGAGTGAGGGATACATATTTCCTTCTGCTACTCTAATGTTTTCTGTCTTGCTTGACATCTTTACTTCACATTTTAAATGGCTGGTGCTATATATATCTGGGATTTGGGGAGAATTTGAATTACATCTATACCTCCCCAGTACAATACTGCAAGTTTTTTTTTTTTTCTCCAGTGATTCGTATCCAAAGTTCTCAAAGTATATTTTGGGCACTAGTCCTTTCTTACACCTCTGTGATGCTAGTGCTACACCTGTTTAAACAAAAAGGGAGGCTAAGGCATGGCATGAACAGAAGGGAAGCAACTTGCCCAGGTTCACACAAAACAGAGCAATGGAAGATCCTGGAATAAGCTGAGCTCTTTCCTTCGTTGGCTCAGCTTCCATGCTTGCTTACTATATATATCATACTGCCTTCTTCCTAAAGGTATTTCCCCTTTCTTCCTAACCAGGCTTGCTCTTGTTTTTCTACCATTTCTGTGTTGTAGCTTTAAAAGGATGGAGTAAGGGTGGGGTATATTCTGGCCTGAAATATCTTTCCCTTGCCAAACTTGTGATTTGTACCTAACAACATAGCTAGGAGGGTGGTAATATCTTGCCGTGACACACCCACATAAGACCAAGTAAATAGCAGTGATCTAAGTAATAGTTTGTTTTAATATGCTCAAGAAGGGGGAGTTTTGATAACAGTCTGAAAAAAAACAGCCTGACTGCAAATGCCTCTGGGCTGCCTGCCTGTTACAGAGACAGGAAGTAGCTCTCATCAACATTGCATGAAAATGCTGTACATTTTGTCCCAGACTATACAAAAGGGTGCTGCTGTTTCAGTTTCAGTCCAGCAAAAGGACTGATATTCTTCCATTTCTGCCAGTGCTTTATGATGGAGCATTCAGCACAGTGACAGAAAAGCCTAATTCTGCCTTCAAACCTCTGCATCAGCCTCAGGGGCTGCCTCACCCTCCTTGAGACCATAGGATCCAGATTACAAGCTGCAGGCCTCTTATCCTCTGGTTACAGCCTATGTAGGAAGCCTGTCCCCAGACGCATTCAGAATAAGGACAGCAAATGCTCTGTACCAGTCTGGACCGGTTTAAATTTGCACAGAGTTGTTTTGCTCCTACTGACTTCCTCATTAATACTTGAGGTTCTGGCTGGCACTTGCCTGGCAGTAACTCCTGGTGTCAGATGGGAGGCATATGCCAGCCATGAAACTTGATCTCTGGCTCTGCATCTCCACTCTGACCCCTCTGTAATGCATGCGTGCTCGCTTTCTGGTTTGTAATGCTGCTGTGTTTAAGCTCACAACTTAATGAACTTGGTGTCTGCTTCCCTTGTTCCAGCCCACTCCACAGCATTTTCTTAAACTAGGAATAACATAGGAATTTGTTTCCTTGAGTATTATTAAGTAAAGCTGGCCTTGTCAAGTGGGATCCTCTGATGACATGTTTGAGTTGGGAGCACAGAAAGGCTTGCAGAGCTGTCAGCATTTCACTGGAGTTGTAAGTACATAAAAACATTTTAGTAGCACTTGTCACTTCCTGTCTTCCAAGTCCTTTATAAATATCATGCTGGTGAGGCCTTGGCTGGAGTTGTGTCCAGCTGGAGAATGTAGCCCAACTGGAGAAAATACATAGGAAAACAACGGGAATGAGGAGAGGTTTAGAAAATGGCACCTAGGAGAAAAGCCTGAAAGAATGGGGTTTCTTCTTATAAAAAATAGGGGACAGGCAGGAAAGGGGAGTCATAAGAGTCCTCCAATATGTAAAAGGTTCTTATAAAGAGGACAGTGATCAAGCGTTCTCTATATCCAAACAGTAGTCAATTTAATTTGCAGCAGAGAAGATCCAGATTAGAAAGGCTTTCCTCGTATCTAGCTATGAGGATGGTTATATCCTGGGAAAAGCTGCCTGTGGAGGTTGTGGAATCACCTGCACTCAAAGTTTTAGGAATTCTTTAGACCAACACCTGTCAGGAATACTCGAGGGATGCCTCGGAGCAGAAGGGTGGATTCAATGACCTCTCTCCCAGGCCTAAGTATCCAGGCCTGCCTCACTTTCCCAATACCATAATCAGTGGGACAAGCTCCATTGCTGTTGTTTTGCTCTTTAAACTTTGAGTTTTTCTGCAGATGACAAAATAGAACAAAGAAACCCCAAAGGAAAGGCTGGAGTGAGAAAACAGCTGGGACAGTTTGATCTGGAACTTCTGCAAGGTAAATGCTGTAATTGGTAACAGCCACATACCGCCACTCTCCACATTTGGGCATATGGACACAGTGGAAGGCAGTATATTTTCTAGTGACCATAAAACCTACTTTCTGCTGCTGATTGTATGGCTTTGAACTTGGGTGAATCATTTCACCTCATTCTATGTCTCTCTCCCTTTCTGTAAAATGGCACCATGACTCTCTGTGAAGCATTTTAAGATGCATGAGGCGAGGGGCATATGGATGCGTGTGTATGCATGCACAAAGCTAGCTATTAAAAGATCAGTGGAATAGTTCCTCTAAAATCAAGCCTTTAGAGAGTGTCTGCATTTCTCAGCTGCATGCACACAGCAAATAGATTCACCAATTCCTAATGAACCGTCAAAGCAGTTAGCTCCCTTGTTTCCCCCAGGAGAGCAGCAATAGCATCTCATTAGATCTCATTAATCCTTACTCTGCCAAGCTGCAGGGCCTGAATCTGCCCTGCAACCCCAGGAAGAACTGGAGATGAAAGGCAGGGGAAACAAATGCTTGGAAGTCAGTTTTGATTTGCCGTTAATGCAAAGGATTTTGAGTCCTGTCTACATTCCCCGATGGGGACAGTAGACAACGTCTATCTTGCCATTGACTAAAAGCTCAAGTTTTAAGGGAGTTTGGCTGTGTGGGGTAAGAATCACAGCTTGTTCCAGGAAACAGCAGTAGGGAAGGCTTGAGACTTGCTTCCACAGATGTTGCTCCCCAGCCTCTCATTTGTTGGATGTTTGAGGGTCAGATAGTGCCTCTTGTGCAAATCATTCTGAAGCATGGGATGAATGCAGAGAAATAAGTTATGCTGAAAAATGGTTAAATTTTCTGCAAGCAGCTATGGCCAAATTACCCTTGCATGCCAACGTACTGTTCCGTCAGATTCAACCTGAGCAGAAGTTGGCACCTAGGACCTTTTTCTAGGGACTCATAATGAGGGCCTAATCCTTAGCAATTCTGCAGTCGGTACTCACAAATGTGAAAGTGACCCAGGTAATAATAATTAGCTTTCCAAGAGTCTTCTCATGATAAAATGTAAAAGTGATGCACGTAAACAGAGCAGATCTGCCAGCTGGTGAGGACAGAGGTTTCCCATGCTGGGCTTTCTGCCAAGCTGAGAGTTGAATTTATATCTAGTCCATCTCAAGTCCACTAAAGCTGTAATAACCGATTAATAATTCTTGTACTTAAGGATGTCTCATCCACTGATTTCAGATCTTACAAAGGTCAGGGAGGACTAAGAGGACTAGGTAAAAAGTGATAAACTGAAGCGCAGGCAGGTTTACTAAGTCTCCTGGACTCCCAGTCGCCCACCAGCCCATGCAGCCTCCTGGGATGCATCCACACAAACATGGACATTTGTCTCCCTGAGGACAAGCAGCTGCCGCACACCTTGGGCTGCTGCTGCTGCGTGTCCCTGGAGGATGCCTGTGCCACACACCCTGGTGCCTGGCAGATTACCCTGAGTGGCATAGGGGAGGCTGAGGCCAGCAATTGTGCTGGCTCTAGCAATCTCACTTGGGGGCTTCGGGGAGCTGCAGCTGGAGTGTGACTCTGGGCAGCCAGGCTCCAGTTTTGGGTGGCACATGCTGCCCTACTTTTCTGTACGATTTTTTGATCCTGGGGTCAAACCCCCCCCCGCTACCTTGCAGTGCAGAGAATACCTGAATGTGTGGCACATGCCCTAGCTCATCTGGACGTGGCCCAGGTGTACAAACCCTTGCCCCCTTTAGTGCTGTCTGTTGCATGATTTCAAAGCATTTGTGAAAGTGTCCTATTCAAGGGAATGCCCTCCTGCCCCGAATGGGAAACTGAAACACCAAGGAGGAAAGTGAGTAAATGGCTCAAGGTCACAGAGATGCTGTGACACAGCCAGAAATAAACCTTCTGTTCAGTCTTGTGCCCTAACCACAAGCACCTTCTTCCTCCCCAGATCTCTGCTGAGACTTGCTGCCGTCCGGAAGGACCGAATATTTCAGCTGCTTATTTTTCATTTGCCTAAAATAGGAAACCTCTGTCTATGAATCAAGGTGCTTCTATGGTCACTATCATCACAGTATCCAAGTCTCCCACCTAGGTAAAAATAGAACTATTTCAATGGTCTGGTTTGGAATCACTATAGAAAGGTGGTATCATTGTGCCCACCTGCCTGCTATCTAACACCAAAGTATCTTTGAGTTTTCACCTCTTGCTTGGCTGTATCTCCAGCATCCTGTAACCAGATGCACAGCTCTTGGATGATGTGGGGTCCATAAAGGGAAACATGAATAGAGGCTACAAGAACTGCTGTCCTTGCTGTGAAACACAGCTAGTGTGCTTATGGGTGGCTCTGGATTTAGAGGTGCTGTTTGGCATCTCCCACTTGCTCCTGCAAGCTCAGAGAAACTCAGGATAACCTCCAGAGTTAGAGCTTGGTAGTCATGGCTATGTTTGGCCAAAAGCATCTCTCCCATCAGCTGCAGGGAGCTCTGCATTGGCCATTTTGGCTAAGGTAAGTGTCTAAGAATAATTCACTTCCCCTTCACCTGCAGAACTGACGTCCTCTAGGACTGCAGACGGACTAAAAGGGTACAGAAACTGCAGATCTAGGTCTTAAAAAATAGGATTCCTAGGCTTTAACTGGGCTTGTGGGCCAGGTAGGGGAAGCAGTGGCTGTAAAGCAAACAGGAGACAGTGTTGGGGCAGACGCGGGGCGTTGGTAACAGGAGGCAGCTACAGGTCTAGTAGCCTCCACTAAGTCCAGCAACTGCGATCCGCCTCTGAGACATAAGAGGAAGCTCAGGCCTTGCCGGCGGGGTCCTGGCCTATGCTCCGGGGGAAGCCGCGAGGGCGGCACTTGATGCTGCTGCAGTAGCTGCAGCTGGGCCGCCCCGCGGTCCCCCCGGCCAGGGGCTGAGCCGTGGCCGCGCCGCCCGGCCCTGGCCCCAGAC